CATATGCTACATCGAATTAAACAATAGTAATTTTGTATTAACATTGGATTATATAAATATTTATTAGTGCAGATATAAACTAATTATATATCAACAGATACAAATATTGTGCAGATTAAATGCAATTTTAATGCAGTCGTAAGCAAATTAAGGACAACATATCGATTGAGTTCATTGAATCAAAATGATATTGTTCAACAAAAGATATAATACGAGTACAAAATAATTTTGTATGGTTGTATCTGAATTTACATGAACTATAAAATTTTATTAAAAACTAAAAAATTCATCAATAATTTAGCACAAAAACCAAATCGAATTGTGCAAATTTATCACTTTCAACACACTTGACCTATTTTCGGTGAATATTTTGATAAAATAAAAGCAAATACGACCATTTCAATACGACGCTTGTAAAATACGTTTTGTTTTTAGCACTTTTCAAGGCAATAATTGACTGTGAACTACAAAAATAATCAAGAAACAAAAAAAAAAACAAAAAAACTAAATAAAAATTAACAACAAATTCTTAATCTGCGCTCTATTTAGAGCTGCCAGCCAACCCACACTCGTAGTAAATTTTTTGTTAGTCACTCAATTATATCACAAATCTTTCAACACTTTCGATTTCACAATTTTGTTGGCTCAACTAAGCTTAAGTTACATTGTTTTATCTCTATTTGTGCTTAAACATAAATTTATCTTTTTTATGATGTATATTGTATAATTGAAGTCAATTTGCCCCACTTCATGTTCGTGATACTCGTGCATTCTATGTGGGTGACCCGCCAAAAATAAGTCACAAACACAATTTCTCTTCCAGACTTTATAACAACTATAAAGCACATCAGCAATACAGCACTACAGCACTTCAGCACACCAACAATGCAGCACATCAGCACTTTTAATTTCATAAATTAGGTGCAGCGCGTTTTTAAATTTAGCCGAGTGCGCACATCTTTGACACCTACAATTTCTTCGAAAACTTTCGATTTGGGAGCAAAAGTGTCAAACAAGGCATATACGACATTTGGGGCATATATGAGTCTACTCGTATGTATGGTATAACCCATTACCCTCAATTGTTTTCCTCAAATTTTGTAACGCTTTCTAGTCAAGCCATTAAGTTAAATAACAAATAACTTAAGTCTTTATTAGGCGCAATCAGTGAATGCAAACTGAGAGCGGCTAAAGGGTTTTAAAACACTTTAAATTCAATTTTCAATTGAAATCAATTACATTAAATTATTTTAAATAAGAATTCAACAATATTTTTCATTTGAAAGCTCAATTTTCAATTAAGGTCAACCATTTTGTCAACTACAAAAATGAGTAATCTAAATAGTCACTAGTACAACATAAGAAAAATATCATCAATTGAGTTGGTACTAGAATTGAACAGAAGAATTTTTAAGGACCTGAAGTGTATGACAAATACGTACAGTTTTAATGGATGTCTCTACCGCATATATGATAAATACTAAACAAGATTCACAAAGGTCTAAGTTAATGAATTTAGGCCTAGAAGTCTATTATGTTGCCGTATACATTTTATTTGGTTTGAAGCTATTTTGAGTCAAGAAAGCAACCTCAAATGCTCCACTCGAGGAAGTTTTGTAGTTGATTAAGATCCTCTGGGTCCTCTAAGATCCTCACAGTTTGCACATGCGTTGGATAACAACGATTGCAAGAGACAACGATTTAAAACTCTTACCATCTTCTTCTCATAGCTGTGACAATTTGAAACTATTTCAAACCATACTCTACTAAGACCTTACATACTCTACTAAGAGAGGTTTTATAGTTGACCAAGATCATTTAAAAAACTAAGTTCCTGAAATAAGTTCGATATGCTTTCCAAATATGTTGGATAACAACAAAAAAAGATTTAGAGCAACATATTTCTTTTTCTTACAGCTGCGACAATTTAAAATGATTTTAAACCAAATTGAAGCCCGAGATACTCTTTTAAAAAGCCAAGTCCATAGTAAATTTAAAATGCTTTTCAAGTCTATTAATTGATAATAAAAGTCGATTTATAACACCATCTTCTTCTTAGAGCTGCGACAATTCAAACCTGTCGCAGCTAACACCTAAGCTAATAGCCTAGAATCTTGTAGTTGACTAAGATCTTTTACAAAACCAAGTCCCTAGCAAGTTTGAAATGTTTTCAAATGTGTTGGATAATAACAAAAGTAGATTTAAATAGTATGCTTCTCGAAACAGCATCAACTTAAAGCTCATTTAAACCAAATGAAACCTAAGATATTCTACTATGAGCGGTCATGTAGTTGGTTAAGATCTTCCTAAAGTTTAGTCCCTAGTAAGGCTTATATACTTGGCACATATATTGAATAATAACAAACTCGATATGAAACTTATTCTTCGCACTTCTCTGTACCTGCTTCAAGCGTCAGTAAAGGGAAATTTGTATATAATCATAATTTCCTGAACGATAAATGATTCGTCAACAATCCAAGCATAAGGCTAATATCTCTATAAGGGCTTGAAAAATATATTTAATATTGAACAGTAAACTAAATTCAAAAATTTTAACTTATAGAAAAATACTGAGATACAGGTCTTGAGGGTTCGAATAAGTTTGACGTATTTAAGAGCAGCAATCTTGATATAATGTTTTGATGTTTACAATTAAACAGATAAGATTAGTTTAGATTTTCTGAACTATAGAAATATAGATATATCTGCGAAAGTGCAAAAGTGAAGAACCCAACAGATCCATTAAATGTTTCGTTTTATAGAAAATTAAATTATCAAGAGTAAAATGGATATCAACCCCAGAAATAAGCTATCTTATTTTGGGTACTGGTTTTGGAATAAAAAAAACTTAGATTAATTCTCTAAGACCTTTTATACGAAATAGAAAATCAATTAATTTGTATATAAGCCTTTGACTCTCGCTTTTTTAACTATAGGTTCCATGATTATGATGTAAAAATTAATTTAAATAAACCAAATAGACTAAAAATAGATATTCAGTATTTACAATTACAAAATAGATTGTTTGGTGGTGAAATGTTTTTTAAAGCAACCTTAGGTCCCAAAGGAATCAAAACTGTGTTGTATGTTTCTCTTAAAAATATCATTTTTATTAATTCTTATAAGCCTCTACTTTTAAACATTTTAACAATTATTGCAATAGATTCTCATATTTAGGAAAAATCGGACTGCAGTTTTGAGCCTTACAGTTTCGTATAACCCAAAACCGGTGCTTTATTTTTGTCATGTAGTTTATTATTCTTAATATTTATGTAAATATAGATGTTCAGTGCTAGGAAGGGTTTGTCATGTGATAGACATTTTTTATAAATTATGGAATTTATGTATGCCTTGGACACTTGCTGTATAATAATTCTATACAGACAACTTATATTGTTCGGACAGTTTAACCAGTAGATGTTTTCAATAACCCTTGTAAACAGACCATAATAGATATATGACAGTGTCCGAAATAGCTATATGATTAGTCTAAAAATATTCCTCACAATTGCGCTGTCTTCTCTTCAAAATAGGTTTCTTTTCAAAAGACAAATAATTATTTCTTTCATCAGTGGTTTGCTTCTAAGGACTACTATTGATGAAAATACCTAACATATATGGTCAGATTAGAAATTTTATAAACCCCTTTTTCTATACGAATTATATTTAATTACAAAAGACATACAAAAACTCTTTTCATCATCAGTTGTCTATTTCAAAAGTGCACTGATGATGGTTATTTGACAATATCCGAAGCAGTTATATGATAAACCTAAAAATTTTTCTCACAATTATTGTCTTCTCTATTCCAAATAGGTTTCTTGTCAAAGGACATACAAAAATACTTTTTATTATTAGTGGTCTCTTTCCAAGAACCACTGTTGATGGATATTTGAGAATATCCAAAATAGCTATATAGTTAGCTTAAACATTTTTCTCACAATTATTACCGTCTTTATTCAAAATAGGCTTCTTGTCAAAAGACACGCAAAAATTCTTCCGGGTTCTTGGAAGTAGACCACTAATGATGGATATTTGTCATTATCCGAAACAGCTCTGTGACTAGCTTAAACATTTCCCTCACAATTATCACCTTCTTTACTCAAAATAGTTTTTTTTATCATACTATATAAAAAATATTAATAAATATTTTTATTAATAATTTTAGTAAATAAAATTTGCACTTGATTTAATATTACAAGTTTTTAGCTAAAGTTATAATTATTTTGTTTTTTTTACTTGCATCTTTATAAGTAGTTGCATCTAATAAACATTATAATCTAATAAATAGTTTATTTATTATTTATTTTTTTAATTGTAAAAAAACAAAAACAAGTTAAATATAAAGTTAAATCCTATAAACATATTTTTTTAAATGATAATTAGAATAATATAATTACTTAATTAAGATTTTAAAAGTGATTTAGCAAAAACTGCCTGGCACTGACTTATGTTCTTCGACTTAAGAAAAACTTAAATTAAAAGAAAAAAACTGCTTATATTTTTTAATGTCTATATTTTATTCACAATCAAATATACTCGTATATGTGTATATATGGTTATATATTATTGACTATAAACAAAAGTAAAGAATCGATGGACAATTAATCATTGCTAATTTTGTGTGAAAAAGATTAGTGCGACTTTCATGGCACGTTTGAGGCATAAAATTTATTTTCAAACAAGACAGCATTGTATCTTAAATCGGCATTTGTACTAATTACTACAGATGTTGAATTCTAACTTTAAAGGTTGACCGTCAAATTTTGAGTTAGGCACAAACAGGTAGGTAGGCATTCGCGGAAGATATGGGAACCAATTTAGTCAAACATAATTTTAAAGATTAAATTTAAGCTGAAGTCGGAAAGAGCCTATGTATACACTTAGTAGGAAAAATTCTGTATATATTGAAAATAATCTGCCTGTGGTACTTAATTACAATGAGATGAAGATGAAATTCATTTTTAAATTCTTATTTAATTTTTTAAAATTTGACTTACTTTATCGTTTTAATCCACAATTAAATTTTTTGTCAACAGATGGGCTGGTTTTGCTTGGTAAAATGTTGCCGAAATGTTAAACTTTAACTTTGGGAAAATTCTTTTAATATAATTAAACTTTTTTAAGCAAATTTTTTTTTTTTAAACACAAAAATGCAACATAAATTTTTTTTTTCACATAAAATAAATAATTTTTTTTCTCCAATGATTGGAACAATGGGATTTGCCTTAGTTTAAAAATTTTTTAATTTTTTGGTGGAGCGGCTCTGAGTGCAGTTCCCCACCACTTCGTTGTTATTGTTGTTATTGTTGCTGATAATATACTTAATAATATTACAATAAATACATTGTTGTTGTAGTTGTAGTTGTCGATGTAGTCGATGTTTTGTGATGTTGCATACGCGCTGCGGTTATATCCGTTAAAATAAAAAAAAGGAAAAACGACGACGACTAAAAATTAAAAAAATTTTTGCTTTACTGCGGCAGTTACACGTTTTTTATATAATTTTCAATTTTTATTTAAATTTACAATTTAATGCCGTTTAATTTATACAAATTTAAAAACGAGTTTTATTTACAATTATTTTAAACTCACATTTAACACTTTTCGTTTAAATAAATATTCACACAAATTTAATTTTTACAAGAGTAGAAGACACTGATAAGGATTCCGCAAATATATTTTTTTACTTTAAACAAATTAACGCACAATAAATTTTCAATTTAAATAGTGAAATTATTTTTAATTTAAAGTTTATATCAGTTGAATATTAAAATATTTTACACAGAATTTTGCTATATTTATTGTCCATTGACTGATCTTAATTTTTATAAATATTTAACAAATAAAAATACAATTTTTTTGCACAAGATTTTTTGTTAATTTCACATGGATTTTGCTTTTAATGGGAAAAAATTAATTGCTTTGCTTTTGCTGTAAATTCGTAATTTAATTGCCATTTTACTTTTTAAATTACTTTTGTGCATTTATTTTTTTTTATTTTTATTATTATTTACCGATAATTTCTTAGATTTTGCTTTTGAAGAGGATCGAGAGTCCACGATCGTCGACACATTCACATCCACTCGAAACGGTATCTCGTTAGCGACTGAAAAAACAGCAAACATGTTTGACTTTTTTGTTGAAGTCAAACCGCAACACGCTGGGCTGCTTGTTGTGTTGTGTTGCTTTTTGTTTTTTTTGTTGTTCTCGCCACTCACATATGATCGATCGTTCAAAGAAGTGCGATCAAAACACAAAGCAGAAAGAGTGTCTTGTCTTCAAAACAAAAAGATTTCGTATAGAAAAGCAGAGCTGAAGAAGACTTCGTAAAATTTGTGTCAGTCAGTTATGGTCACATTGGGCACTACACCTGTAATTAAACATGTTGAGTTATATGAGTTGTTGTAGAAAAATATTATCTTAGAGAGGTTTCAAAAAGTAGTGAACTACAACAACAATAATTCTTTTTTATATTAGTTATATGTTGAGTTATATGAATTACTATAGCAAAATATTATCTTAAAGAGGTTTCAAAAAGTAGTGAACTACAACAACAATAATTCTTTTTTATATTATTTTAATTAATTAAATTATTGACAAACCATACATCTCATTTGAGTATTGTCAATTACCCATTATCAGTGGTCTTGCCATTATATCTTATATATAATTATTAGTACTAAAATTTTTTTGAGACTGCAAGTACCAAAGAAAGGTTGAACTCGTGTCCTACTAAATTTGAAGTTAAAATATTTAATTAATTAAAATAATATAAAAAGAATTTTTGTAGTTATAGTTTACTACTTTTCGAAGCCTTCCTATTAAATACAACAAGGTCTATTAAGTAAAATAGTTACTATTGTCATATTGATATTAAAATCAAATATAAAATATAATATTTTAAATATAAATTTAAAATAAAATATTTTCATTTAATTATTTATTTATGCATGAGTTAAATGAGCTATAACAATAATAATATTATGTTTATTAATTTTATACATCTATTTATTTATGTATGGAATTATGTGAGTTATTATAATAATAAATATTATATAATATATCTATTTAATCATTTATGCATTAGTTATGTGAGTAATTATAACAATATATAATATATTTATTAATTTAACATATTTATTTATTAATGTATGAGTTATTATAACAAAATGTAGAATTTTTCTTTTTTTTGTGTATGAGTTATATTATTTATTATAACAAAACATAATAATTACACTTAATTATTTATTTATATATGAGTTATTAGAAGAAAGTATAATATATTCAGTTATTTATTTTTCTATGTATGAGTTACTAAAACAAAATATAATATTTTCATTTATTGATGTATGAGTTATATGTGGTACTGTATAAAAATATTAAATTTTTATTTATTTAATTATTTATATATAAATTATATGAGTTATTATAACAAAATATAATATTTTCAATTATTTGTTGATATGAAGTTCCATGAATTATAATAACAAAATATTACGAAACTAAACATTATATTCCTAGATACTATAAAATATTATTTCTGATGATAACTTTAGACTAAAGTCGAAATATCGTTAAACTAAAAATTATTAAAAAATTAAATTGTGCTTTTTTTTCTTAATATTTATTTTTTTAACAACAATAAAAAATTTAGCCTGAAAAAATACTTTATTTTTATTTATAAATGTGTGAGTAATATATGTTGTAGTACTATATCAATATATTCAATTTTAATTTAATTAATTATTTTGTGCTGCAAGGATCTATTTTAATGGATTATCCTAAAACTAATTTCAGAAACATATTTATTTGTTTATTATATATTCAAAAATAGAAATCGAATCTCCAATGAGCGCAAAGTGGAGCATGACTTTCTCAGTATTAGGTTTCTAGATTTCTAAGTTTCCATACACCACGAAATAGCAATAAAATCATACAAAAAATAATGCTTCTACAAAATAATAGCATTGAAATTTAAAAATTGAAACAAATAAAATTTAATAATTTAATTATTCTACAACTCGTTTATGATTTCGTTCTAATGTAACACACCAAGTGAATTTGTTAATGAACTTTCACAGCAAATTAACAAAACTCCAAGATCGAACATACAAGTCAAGTACGGTTTTGGGTCAGTTAGCTAATGATGACTGACTCTGACCTTCAAATTTGGCAGGATTAAAAAAATATTTACGAAAGCGTAATTATAAGAAATAATTCCAACACCACAGGTAATGGGTATTTAGTAATACTCGAAACAGCTGTATGGTCCGTCAAAAATTCAATTAATTGAAAATAATAATAAAATGTTTGTTGTTGTAATTTACTACTGTTCGATAAAAACCACTGTATTGAAAATAAAACTTTATATTAAGCATGAATTTTCTTTTGTCAAAACAGACATTAAAATTGAATTTAATATAACATAGAATTTATAAATAAAAAGTTAAATAAAAGTTAAAATTATGAATATATATATTTTTAGCTAAAAATTTAATATATTATTAAATATTATATTTTATATTATATATTATTCATTAATTTATTGAATACTTCTTTTGAAAACTAATAATAATTTATCAAATCTTAGAGGTGATATATTTTATTTTATATCGTGTACCATTGTACTAGAAAATAATATGCTATCGCTTATTAGTTACATCGTAATAAAGAGTATCGAAATATATTTTAACAGAAAAATATATAAACTTATAATATTTTAAAGAAAAATTATACTAATATAGACAAAAATTATTAATATTAATATTAACAAATAGTTAGACAAGGGAAATAACTTCCCTTGCGTTCTGATCTAGGTGTAAAAATGATTGAAATTGAGTTTGTGACCTTTCTCACGCTTACTCAAATTTTTCTATCTAAGTTATTATGATGATTTACTATTCCAAATTTAGATTCAGAATCATATTGGCTCTTAGATACTTGTGTTCTCTAGATCTATAGACACTTCTTAACATTTTGATTGCAATCTTTGGGCTCTATATAGAATTGAGTTGGAAACAGTACCTCAAACTTGCATTGCATATGTCTAGCAAGGTTTTATCATCGTATTAAATAGAAACATTTTATTTTCTAGACTAAATATTGATTAACGACTAGAAATTTAACTAAGATTAGAAATTTTCAGTTTTTTTCGTATTAGTCTTATTTCTATATGACTTCTCCGCGTCAATCTTCTTTCCAGTGTTACTCCCAGAAAGCTAACAAAAGCTTTTTGTGGAATTATATTTCCATTAATAGTCAACGTAGGACATGAACTTAATTTGAATGTATTTCGATTCATTAACTTTAATTATCCACTTAGACAGCAATTGCTTCAAATTATTTAATTGTTGCTGTAGCATATTTGTGGCAGTATTATGATTTGAAAGAAGACTCAGTAGTGCTGTGTCATCTCTGATTGTGGAAGTAATCAAATTGTTTTGAGTTGATAAATCCTTTATATATATAATAAATTATAGATCAAAGAACATCTCCATGTGAAGCACAAATAATGGCGTAAATATCAGAGAAGTAATTTTTTTGACGCACTCGTAAAGTGCTGTCTAAAATGAGGCTTTATATAATGTTATACATATCGGAAGAAATTATGGTACCTAATTTATACAAAAGATCAACTAAACAATTTTTATCAAGTGTTTATGAAACATCTAGAAAAATTTAGTATTTAATAATATTACAAAACAATAGTTAAATTTAAATAAGATAACTTAATAAAAATAATAATTACTACTATTACTAGTAACTTTTAAAAGGCTTTAAAAATACATACAAGGACTAGTTTGACTAGAAGGACATATTGACACTATAGAAAATAGAAAAGGCGCTTGAAGAGTCTTAAAAACATCATAAATATCTTAAAATCATATCTTAATCTAACACCCTTAAGAACAAGGTTTAATATAATAATCAAGCAGTTTTGACCTTCCCTGAATCCAGCCTGCAACAAAAATATGAGATCAAAAGGGAATAATAATCAAGAATCTGCTCTGCTATTATGTGTTTGCATACCTTTGAAAGTGAAAGAAGAATATTGTTAGAACGATATTCAGAATCTAATAATTTGTTAACATTTTTCAATTAATATAAATTTGACACTATCTATATACTTAAA